CTGGTCCCCTGCCGTCACGGCCGGCTGGGAGGGTCCCTCTCCTCCTGGATCCAGGGATCATGCGTGTCTTCAGGGGTGGGTGCGGGTGGGCGAGGCCATTGCAGGGGGCTCGTTATGGGCTCGTCCTGCTCTTACCCCAGAGCTCCTTGACCCAGCTGTAGGCGATGGCCCTACTCCGTGTCACCCCCATGTCGTCTTCCCCAGCCTCGTGGCCCAGACAGACAACTTTAGCCGCTAACGGCGACGCTGATCACAGTTGACAAGATTAAAAAAAAAAAAAAAAATAGTAGCCAGAGCTCCCCCAGAGTGACGCACTGGACGGTGAATGGGCGGTGGGTGGACAGGAAACCGTAGGGGCGAGGCTTGAGGGGACAGGCGAGGGAGGGAAGGCGGGGTCCGCTGGGGTCGGCTGTGGTCCCCGAAAGCTGCAGTTAGGCGTTCTGGGAACCGAACCTGAGGGCTCTGTGTCCTGCAGTCATCTCTTCACGGAAAGTGTGGGAAATGGTCCAGAACTCTGGAAGGGAGGGAGGACTGGCCGTCACATGCGCGTGGAAGCATCGGAGTGATTGGGGTCGCATGTAGAGTCCCGGAAGGGACAGATTACTTTCCAGATTAGACCCTGACGGTCATCGAACTGGAGAGATGGTTCCGATCATTTCCCTGGAAGCTGTGGGTCAGACTTGTAGATATGAGCATATCTGGCTTGTTTTCATCTACACCAGGAGAGGGTAGTTCACACTACGGGGGTTTCGAATGCTCCAGGATGAGTCGTGGGCAGCGCCCGAGGCTCTATGCACCCCGTGTGTCTCCGCGGTCTGCTATGGTTGTATTGATGGTTCTCTGCCAATTGCGAAAATTATCCTAATTATTTTGTTTGGGCTCATGCGGGGAGTTAATGCATCTAAAGGGACACAGAAAAGTTACTACAAATTATGAGCACGAACTTGCAAACCAAGTACACAAACTGGTTCATTTGATTATCATATTCGGAATTATGTTTTCTGCCAATACAAATGCTACATAACTTTTGATGCGAGTATATGACATGAATTCACTGGCAAATAGAAGTCATGCATTTTTTAAGTCAATAGCTGTCAGAGTTAATTTGGGAGCATTTATAGGAGACAAAGACATAAAAAAGCTTCAAGCGAGTTTGACAAAACTTGACTTAGAAGTTTGTAGGAAAAATGAGTCCTTCCCACTTTTGAGGTGTTGAGGCGAGTTTGAATGTTTATTAATTAAAAGTCGTCAACCAACCGAATCCGCGTTGTCAAGTAACTTTTCATATTTCTTATTATTTTACAGGGCCTGTCATGCTTGTGACAGAGGAAGGGAAGTTGGTGCCCAGTGAGGCTGACGCTCCACTCTGTGCGTAGGCACTGACCGCCTGTACAGAACTGTGGGTCTCCCGCGCTCTGTGCCAGGGGGTCTCACACCTGCACTCACGTCCGCGGTCCCAGGTTACCTTGGAGCCTCCGTCGTCGTCTGGAGAAAGATGGCCTCCAGCCTGACTTGTACCGGGGTGATCTGGGCTTTGCTCTCGTTCCTTTGTGCTGCCGCCTCCTGCGTGGGGTTCTTTATGCCTTACTGGCTCTGGGGGTCCCAGCTGGGCAAGCCCGTGTCCTTCGGCACGTTCCGGCGGTGCTCGTACCCCGTGCACGATGAGAGTCGGCAGACGATGGTCATGGTGGAGGAATGCGGGCGCTATGCCTCCTTCCAGGGCATCCCCAGCGCCGAGTGGAGGATCTGCACCGTCGTGACCGGCCTGGGCTGTGGCCTCCTCCTCCTGGTGGCCCTCACTGCCCTCATGGGGTGCTGTGTGTCGGAGCTCATCTCCAGGACAGTGGGAAGAGTGGCTGGAGGAATTCAGTTTCTGGGGGGTAAGTGACTTGCTACATTTGCATTGTTTACCTGAATTCCCAAAGCAATGTCGGAGCTTGTGGTCCAGGTGTCTGTTCAGGTGATTGTACTTGACACTTGGAATGCTCTGGAGGAACAGCCGTGGGATAGCTTCGGTGAGAGATTGCCAAAGTCCAAGGTCTTTACTGGAATTGCTTTACGACTTGGAGAGTTCTTAGTTTCTGTAGGTCTTTAGACACATGGAATCGCTGGCCTGCTAGGCACCAGCTACGTGGGGCACTGCCATCTAGGTTGTTTCCAGCTTAGTGGGGGAGACGGTTTGCACTCCATCGCGTCTTACTCTTTATGTTCAACAGGAAGCAATTAGATGATCTGTGTCTTACTCGACTCCTTGTCTTTTAACGACGAAGCCTTCATAGAGAGGTAGAAAAGGTGTTTGATTCGGCATTGTCATCATACGTCCCTAATACTCATTGGTGGTTGTAAAGTTGACCCTTGCCCAATCTTAAACTATATTTCTAAGTAAGTATTTTAAATAAAAGATCAGTTTCACTTTAACAACTATGAATTTCACTATGCTACAAAGATAGTAATGGGCTTAACTACTTTGTTAGGATTTGACGCCCCTGGGTACTCTTACTGTGGAAAAAAAAAAAGAAAGAAAGAAAGAAAGAATACTTAGCAAATGATGTGCGCTTGTCCCAAGTGGGCTGGGTAGTCTCACTAGCACCAGCAAAGGTTTGATTTTTACTTGGGTTTCCTCCAACAGGCACTGCTTCAATATCTCTGCTCATATGGTTTTAATTATACTTTATATATTTTCCGCTGCGCCTTTCACCTCCATTTTTCACCCTGAAGGGCTGAACTTGTCTGATTTATAATCCACCCAGGTGAAATATGACAACCTCTCGAGATAATACAGAGTGAAGGGAAATAGGAAGCCAGGAAAATTTATAAAATGTCTTTGTAACTTCATTACAAAGCGAAAGTTTGTTACTCTTCCATTTGGTGTTTTCTTACAGTCCTTTGTAAAAAAATCCAGAAGAAAAAAATTAAAAATGGATAGTTCGGACACAGAGTCTATATATTGGAGAAACAGATTGTTTCAGATTACTTCATATAAAACTTTCAAATAACATTTAAGTAAGAAAATTCTTGTGTGAAAAACCCAAGTGGCAGCACGTTTTGTGTTTTGAAACGAAAGATAGAGTTGTTTGCAGTTCTTTATTTCCTTACCAGATGTAACTTTGTTCTCATCTGTGCGTTTTCTGTTTTTTGTTTTTTCTCTGTGGTTTTGCATCTCCCTCTGCCCTAGGAGGCAATTTGGGGGACTTAACTATCCTTTCTGTATTGTTTCACTATTCACCATTGACCAAGGGAATTGCATGTGATGTGTGTATTCATACAGAAATACAGTAAAACTATTAAGAAACATACAGAGTTTGTCGTTGAAAGTTGCAATAGAAATCCAGAGTTTGAAAACTTGTTGACACCACAGATTTAAGAATAAAACGAATGCCAGGAATATTTAAACTTTTGTTCTTTAAAAATAAACTTGATTTGATGTTTGTGTTTCGCTTGGCTCAGGAAAAATGCTTAGGCAGTTCCTTTTCCTCCTCTTATGGTAAATATTACTTTTCTTTTTTTTTCCCCTCCCTTCATTTTAGGGCAGGGATTTCTATTATTTCTGGCAGAACAGGAAAATGCTTACAAAGAGAAATCATTTTTTATTGATTGTCTTTAAATGTATAATGGAAGGCAACAGGACGTGAATCCGAGACCGTGAGATGTATGCTTCCCTCTCTAAACTACGTATGGATTTTCTGGATTCTGTAAAGCCACATGTTTTACTTTACAGAAAACTCAAGGAGGAAGACTTGGGGAAGTTACATACGTATTTAAAAGGACTTTTTCTTTCTCTTTATATGTGCTTTTCATGAATACTGGCTTGGTAAGAGTTACTGACATTAAGCTAAGGATATAGTTTATTACTAGCAGTTGGTATTCTCTCATTTGTCATACGTATTTTTCATATCTGGCAAAAAATAATTCTGAATGTAAAACCAAAGAGGTTTATTTTCCGAATCGAACCTCTTGAGGGCACAAGTGAGTAAAGACATGGCGTTACCCAACATCACAGTCAATTTAGAATTAAAAAGTAACTTGAATTGTGGAAAAGGTTTTGGGAAAATCTGCCGTTAATCACGATCATTTAATGGTAGACCAGCTGACAAAAAAAGTCTGACTTTTTATTCATAAACACTTAAGTGGTAAGTTATTTTATTTTATGAAAGTGTTCATAAAATGGGTGGGTTTCCAAAAAAAAAAAAAAACCATGCAAAATACCGAACCAGTGAGCCCTGTGAATTCTCTAGATGGCGATGCTTCGGAAATGAAGTCAGCACACAGGGCGCTCTGGCGTCAGGTGGATTCTCTTACTAAAAGCAATTTACCCAGAAGGGCAATGTGTAGCTAAAGTCCAAAAGCAACAGGAAGCAGCAGGATGGCAGAGGCTTCCTGCTTCACCCTGCCCGCTGCCTGGGGAGGTGACACATGGTGCAGCATCAGGCCCGAAACCCCTGCAGGACGTCGGAGCTCGTTACGGGACAAAGTGTCAACCTTAATTCTGAATCCTCTGACTGTGATTGGTTAGAGGTTAAAATGTCACCTGTCAACTGATAGAACAACGCAGAATGGGACCGTTGTACAGGGACACTTGCTTCCTGTAGGAGGAA